GAGAGACAGTAATGGGTTGGCAGCCTAGGAAGGGATGTTTAATTTAGTTTATCTTGTAGGAGTAAAATGTACAACTATATGTGGTTTTTTTGAATGAGTGAAGAGGGGTATGGTAAACATAGAGCACTTGTGAGTGAGTTAGTAAAGAGAATCCTAATATAATATCTCACACATCTCCAACTAGATTGGAACATATCTTTCAGTCAAATTGATATCTCTAAAGGGAAATACTTCAATTGCAGGGAGTGATAATTGCTCTGGTTTTGAAATGCTGGCTACGTTAATAGCTGGTATTCATGTGAAGTAGTTGAGCTAGGATTATGCATACTACTGGTTTCTGCTGATGTTCCTGAATTGTATGCAATATTAGGGGAGGTTCTCTGTGTCCTTCCAGGAGTCCGTTTAACTATAATTGAATGTCAAGCTGGAAAATTGGTTCACTGGTGCCATCTGATGGTAAGCTCAGTCTCCATTGTAAGGAAGCCAGGAGAACAATAGTCTCTCTTTATTTTGCAAGGCAAGGCTTGGTGTGCCTCTTTTTCCCATCTTGCCCTAGCTACATTCCCTCTAACACAAGTGAGCTTGTCAAAGGTGAATAGATTCAACCCTTGACAAAGCCCCACAGATACTGGCAACATGGTTTATGTATCTGTCTCCTGGTTTGTATTCCTGTCTCTCGGTTTCCTGGTAACATTAAGAAAGAAATGTGCCAGATTAATGGTCTTAGACATCAAGTTGTAGTCTAAATGAATCAATGTTAAAGAATAATGAGTTTACATTGTTCATGTTACTGAAAAATTATTCTTAAACTCAGGATATAGAAATTAAACACAAGTCCAAAAAATCTAACAGTATGAGACATTATTCTGCTTTTTAGAAGAAAATGCTCCATATACTCCAGCAAAGACATATCAAATTTTCAAACTTGACAGATATTTGAAGAGTTTGTCTCAAAGGGCAATTCATCAAGTTAGAAACATAAGGCAGGAGAATATCCAAAATAAAGATCAACTGTGAGCATTCTTAGACTCTGCTGTATGTTTGCAACTTGGCTAATTTTCGAACCAAGCTACTCCAGAGCAACAGAGTTTCATTCACTGTTTCACTGATATTTGAACACTGACTCTTGATTAACTTCAATGAGTTCACCATTCTGTTTCTTGTTCGGTTGATTAGTTAACATTGTATCTTCAATGGAAGGAAAGCCAGTGTAAGGTGTTCTTCTTGCTGTTTGATAATAGGGTGACAATAACCATGAAAGCACCCTCCATAGAGTCCCTTCTGTATCTTAGAGGGTTCCCAGCTGTTGAGTACATCCAAGACTAAGATTGGTTATATTTTGGGCACTTTGGAAAATCAAGAGATCTAGGGATCTTGGAAGAACATGGATTTGATTCACAAGTTCAGCCATGATCTCATTTGAGTAGCAGAGTTGTCATGAGGGCTCACACAGTGGGTTTCTCTACCTACTTTCCCGTATCTTATGGTCTTCTCTATAAGGCCAGCTCACCACCACCTTAGGGCAATTAGCGATTACCGATAAACCTACCCCACAGAACAATGCCAATATACTGTGAAGAATTTTTTTTAAAAACTGTAACATACATCGATCATTCAATATGAATTTGAAAAGGAATGTTTACAGGGTAATAAAGATTCACCTTCTTACCTGTGGAAATACGTTCTCCTTAATTACTCTATCAAAGCCAATTTTTAAAAAAAACCCTGCTTAACCTTCTCTGCTGAAGATAAACTATCCTAGATGACTGAAGGCTCCTCACATGTCGACAGTCGTAAAATCTTATCATTAGGCATCTGACTTTCCAACGTGCACTAACATCAGGCAAGACTCACCATGATGAAGTGAAGTTGAAAATGACTCTTCTATTATGAACGTTCTTCAGTTCTGAAAGGAAATCCCATTGGACTCATAATACGAACTCTTTCTCTCTCCAGAGATAGTGCCAGACCTGTTGAGTTTCCAAAACTTTCTACTTGATTATGGCATTTTTTCTAGTAATGGTGTCTAACAGCAGATCTTGGGAGAAAGATGAAAATCTAATATTGTGAGGTTTATTTTCCAAATGTTTGACTCACTCCTGCCTCTGTGATCTCTCCCACCTGTCTGCTGTATATCTGAGAATCTCTGCTAGCTGTCAATTTGTGTCTACTGTACCACAGAAATCCGCATTACAAAAAAAGGCCAATTAGTTCACTTCTCTAATGTTTGTACAGTGTAAACAATCCAACATTTATCATCTTGTCTGTTAGCTTCCCAACGGACCTGTAGATTTCTCATTCCTTTCCATTCATGTTCTCAAGTTTTGCTGTTGGGCTAATTTTCATCATTCAGGTGCAAGGCATCTAAATATTTAAGAAGCTTTACACAGATTTGTTCCATTAATAGGTCAGATGCTAACAGTGCATAACCTTCTAGCAATAGTCAATTTGTATAGTTATTCACCAGCAGCAGATATGGAATTGGCTGAGTTTAGTAAGTACAGTCGTAGTGAGAGAAGAATACAAGGGCAATGAAATGTTTTATATTAATTAAAGAAAGGTTGAGCTGTAAGGGACAATATTCTCCAAAAGCTGTGGAAACAAAGCATTGGGAGCCTTCTGCAAAGATGAGTATTGGAGTAATACACCCAAACACCTCGACCACTTAATTTGATGGCTGTTAAGTTGGTATAGCACCAATAACCTATAACTAATAACAGTTTGCCTGTGTCCCAAATTATCCCCATTGCTTAGCATAGTAACAAGGGTGATAATCAAGTTTCAATCCAATTGTTAATTAATTGCTACCACCTTCCCATATGCCAACTTTGTGTTTCATAGTAACCATTGACATTTTTAAAACTGAAGGCAAAATTTTGATCTTGCCCTAATGCTAATGCAGGCCCTGAGCAGACTGACACCATTGTTAAAAATATCAAGGTCTCTAAAAGTGAACGATGGTAATTTGATGGCTACAACTAGTCAGCTAAAGCTAGGGAGCTTGCTTTCATACCTTGTACAGAGGCATTTGGTGAGTTTTAAAAGAACCATCTGACATGAGATCTACTAGTGCTTCTTTTTGGAAAACAGCAGTTTCTGCTGACCATGCCCACTTTCACAAAATCCTGCTTACCCATTGCCCATATGTTCCTATCAAGGGGATATGGTCGCACAGTGGATTTGATTCTGGACTAGTAATCCAGAGGCTGAACTAGTCGCCTGCAGACATGAGTTGGAATTGTGTCACAACGACCGAGAATTTACATAAATCTGAAGTAAAAAGCAAGTTTTGGTGGCCATGACTCGAGACCCACAGCAATGTGGTTGACTCTCAGTTGATCTCTGAGCCATTCAGTTCCACTCAGGATGGTCACCACCAAATACTCATGGGCAGTTAAGGAGGAGAAATAAATGCTGATCTTGACAACACAATATCCATGTCCCATGGATGAGAAAAGAATGTCACTCTATAATGGATCTGAAAATGCTCAGCTTCCTCTTGGGAAATGTTTATCATAGTCTGTTTCTGAATTAATATATTTTGCAAAGCAAAGTAAAACACAAGTACAAATAAAAACAAGTCATACTGGAGAAACCCAGCAGGTCTGGCAGCATCTGTGGGGAGAGAAACTCAGAGTTAATGTTCCAAGTCATATTGGACTCAATGTTACCCCTTTTCTCTCTCCCCAACGATGCTGCCAGTCCAGCCTGAGTTTCTCCAGCACAACTTTTTTTTATTTCATCTTTCCAGCATCTACAGTATGTTGCTTTTATTATAAGTATGAATAAAACCTCTGTCTTTGCAGTTCAAGATTTGAAGGTGTTAACTACAGTAGGACATAACTGTATGTACATCGTGCATTACATGCCCAGTTGCATTGATTCTGACACTGTTAAAAGGAAAATGCATTCTCATAGTTAAGCCACAGGCGATGGAGTGTGTGATTCTTATGATTTTAAAAACTTGAAGGTTACTGAAGAAATGTATTCAAGATACATGCTAACCAAGTGTTTGTTGATGTCTGATATGTTTCCATGCTGGAAACTAAGTTGATTATTGTTTCAAATAAAGTATAGAGTTATCATAGAGCAGAGTAATGGAGTCCTACAGCAGAGAAACAGAACCTTTGGTCCAACTCTTTGCCGACCAAATGTCCCAAACTAAGCTAGTCCCATTTGCCTGTGTTTGGCCCATATCCCTCTAAACCTTCCTATTCATGTACCTGTCTGAATATCTTTTAAATGTTGTAACTGTACCTGCATATACCACTTCCTGTAGCAGTTAATTCCATGTACTCATCACCCTCTGTGTGAAAAAGCTGCCCCTCAGGTCCCCTTTTAAATCTTTCCCCTCTCATCTTAAAATTATGCCCTTTAGTTTTAAACTCCCCTGATGAAAATTCAATGCATTAAAATTTGATCAACCAGTCTCATGAAAATACACCTTACACTAGGATTCTTAACCTACTATGAAAACAAACGTTTTTTGTTTTATAATCACCTGGAGTTGTCAATCAAACTATTCCCTTAAGAGGCACCCAATGAGCTAAGTTCAGGTTGTAAAATCAGTCATACAGCACAATTCCTACAATGACAGCCCTCAGAATTATTTCAACAGAGTGAAACAGAAAACACTGATTGTTGTTTTTAAACTCCACAGGTTTGCAAAATTCCTGCACAGCTTTGACAGTTCCAGTGAGTTTTGAAATTCCAATAGTCTTTTACAGTCCAACAAACTTGGACAGTTGTTTAACATCTTGACATTTCTTCAACAGCTTCAACAGATTGTGGATATTTTGACAGAGCTGTGCAAGAATTCAGACTCAAATATAGTGATCTCTCGTAATATTTCCCAGACCTGCCTGTCAGACAAATCCTTTGGGATTCCGTTAAATATTGACCACATATCCTAGGGGATATCCTTTCCTGGTGTACATTAGTAGTGATCCATTTAAAAAGTGGTATGATTTCCATGACTAATTTTTACTTCTGTGCTGCAGGTTAATGGTAATGTCCCTCCGAAACTGAAGAAAAGTGCCCACGAAATGATCCTGGACTTTATTCGCTCAAGGCCTCCATTAAACCCTGTGAGTGCAGCTGATATTTTTAGAATGCAGAATAGTCACAACTGACCTGCAGGACAGTGCAATATGTTTGAGTGACACCGTGGCCATGAGTGTGAACATATTGTGATTAGAAACTTACTTTGAGCTTTTTGCGTAGGTTAGCACTGCTGAGGCAGGTAGAGGAACATGACAGCGCCTCAAAATGGAGCTGCCCTTGAGAGTCTGATTAATATTTGAAAATAATAGATGACTCACGGCCATCAGTGTTCAGGAGAAACCCTTCCTTAGGAAGGGAATGGCCAAGGCTGATGCCTCTGCATTATGGCCCTGTATAAATGTATCCAAGAAAATAAAATGTTCTTTTCTTCATTAAAGAATATTAGAAGAAATTAAACATTGACAGGAGATGGTGGTATCATGGTTATGTCACTGGACTAGTTCTGAGGCTATGGTTTCGAATCCCACCAATGTAGCTAGTGAAATTTGAAATGTAAAGCTAATCTCAGCAAATTGTAACCATGACAGCTATCATTGACTGCTGTGAAACCTCATCCAGTTCCTTTAGGGAAGGAAATTGGCCATCCTTACCTAGTCTAGCCCACACGTGACTCCAGACCCACAGCCATACGGCTGACTCTCAAAATGTGCTGTGATATGGCTACTCAATCATGGGAGATTAGGCGTGTGCAACAAATGTTGGCCTTGCTAGTGACACCTATATCCTGTGGCCCTTGCATCTCCTAACTCAGTATGGGCAAAGGGGGTGATCCGGCATGGGAAGATCCCAGTAATTTCCCTTGAATGGCCCTCAACAGTTACATCGAGCCCAGCCCTGGAAAACCGTTTGAAAACTGGCACACAGCAGGAAGGCAAATTGATGATCCACTTTCAAATTTTCCTCCAATCCCTCCTCCTTAGGTACAGGAACATACTACCAGTCTCTCCACATCGTCCCTACACAACCCATTCATAATTCTAAACCAGGTCAAATCCTAAATTTATTCTTTTCTAAAGAAAGAAGTCCCAGCCTGATCCATCATTCCCGATAGCTTTTACCTCTCAATTTTGTTACCAGCCTCGTGTTTGCACTTTTGCCAGTCAGATTCGTAACTGTTGTTATTTTTTCTGGGTCATAGGCATCTGCGCGGAAACTCAAGCCACATCCACCACGTCCTCGGAGTCTTCATGAAAGAATATTAGAAGAAATCAAATCTGAGCGAAAACTACGGCCAGTATCACCCGATATGATTAGGCGTAGCAAACACGGTAAGTCTGTGGCAGTAAAATTACCGATCTACAAAAGCTGTGATTTTTGCATCATGTTTCCTTTATTTATTTGCGACGAAATATCAAAAATATGCGATGTACCAAATTCCATTTCAAAGTCAGTGCAGAACACCACAATTCCTTTTATCATTATTCATTAATTTTAATGAAAGATTAAAATAAAGAGAATCTAATGAGAATGGTTGTGGATAATGGATACAATTTGAAAGGTGCCAATTGGCTGATTATATTAAGGATGTGAATGCATTGGAGAGAGCTCAGAAGCAGTTTATGGAAATAGTTCCAGGAATGAGAGACTTCAGTCATGGGGATAGATTGAAGAAGCTGGAACTGTTCTTCTTGGAGAGAAGGCCGAGAGGAGATTTGACAGAAGTTTTCAAAATCATGAATGAGCTGGACAGAGCAGATGTGGAGAAACTGTTCCCACTCTTGCAAGGAGCAAAAGATTTAAAGTAATGTGTAAAAAAAGCAAGGGTGAACTGAAGAAATATGTGTTCACTCAGTGAATAGTTAGGGTTGGAAAGGCACTGCATGAAAATGAGGTGGAGGCAGGCTCAGTTGTGGAGTTCAAGAAGGCATTGGATGTTTATTTGAATAAAAGGATAATATGCAAAGGTATGGGAGAAGAAAGCAGGAGATTGGCACTAGGTAACAATCCTTGTTTGTAGAACCAGTAGAGGCATGCTGGCCTGAATAATCTCCTTCAACTCTGTTACACTTCTGTGATTATAAAGCTGTTTTTAAAAAGCTGCTTATGTAATGTTCTAAAGTATGATTTTTAAAACAAAATCTTAAATGCGGCTTGTGGTGAAGCTAGATTGCCTCCTAGTGCCCAATCTCAGAGCAGTATTGTCAAAGGTGGCTGAAGCCTATGCATAGCTCTTGGATCCAGGCACTGTAACCATGGGAGCTTGGGGGGCCATCAATGAAGTTGAAGCAGATTGCATTTCAGTAGCATCTTATCGCACCTACAGACTGACTCACGTGTCACCACCAGTGAATTAGTTTTACCGTGCATCCACTGTTGTCATGTTGGCAACAGCACTGGGTAAACTGCTCACAAACAGGAAGAAAATGTATGACCAGTCGGGTTGTTGCTGACATTTTATAAAAGAATTTTTGCTCACTCTTGGGATGTGAGACTCGATGCCTGGGACGGGCATTTATTGCCCATCCCTAATTGCCCTGGTGGGTGGTGATGAGCAGATGTGTGGTCAAGGTACATCCAAGGTGGAGTGGGGTAACAGTGTTTTGAACCATTGACAGTGAAGGAGTAGCATTATGAGCCCAAGGCAGGATGATTGGCAACTTTGAGGGTGATGTGTCCCATGGATCCACTGCCCCTGTGCTTCAATGATGATGAAAAGAGGAAGGCTAGATTTCAGAAGTGGGAAAACTATTGTTCTCTTTGAATTGGATCTTTATCATGCATTTAATGCAGCACACAGGGTTTCACTTTAATGACTATTCAACAAATGGTGCTTTCAGACATGCAAGCCTCCCATAGTCCAGCATTGACATATGAGTTTTGGTTACAGCCAGCAGCTCTCAGCCTCAAAATTGAGGATGCCACCAACTGAGCAAAGCCGACATGTGTAATAGCATTTCCTCATTATGTTTTAATCTTGTTCTTCAGGCATGCATCGGTATCAATGAATGTGTGTGTGTGTGTGTGTGTGTGTGTGTGTGTGTGTGTGTGTGTGTGTGTGTGTGTGTGTGTGTGCTTTACAGTAATCTCCAGGAACCTTTTAGAATGATAATAGTGAACCACTACAATTGTAAGATACACTGTTAAGGACATTTAAAGGCCCTTCATTTACCAATGATGTTTTTTTCAAATTAAAAGGCAAATATTAAGACATTAAAGAAATTAAAAATTGAATTTGATTCAAGGTATTGATTTGGTTGGCCGGCATTTTTATGGTTTACAATACAATAAGGTACCTGCTTTGTTGCCCTGCGAGACATCAATGAAATGTCTAGAGGATCCACAGGTCATTCAACCACATCAGGATCTCTGGAATACTCAGAATCCCTACAGTGTGGGAGCAGGCCATTTGCCCCATTGAGTCCACACTGCCCCTCTGAAGGGCATCTCACCCAGACCCACCCCCTGTCCTATCCCTACATGTTCCACCCTAGACACTATGGGCAATTTAACATAACCAATCCACCTGACCTGCACATCTTTGGGCTGTGTGAGGAAACTGAAGGACCCGGAGAAAACCCATACAGACACAGGGAGAATGTGCAAACTCCACACAAACAGTCACTCAAAGCTGGGATCGAGCCCAGGTCCCTGGTGCTGGGAGGCAGCAGTACTAACCACTGAGCCACCGTGCTATTTCTAAATGTGCAGTGTTGCCTTCCATTGTGCAGTTTGTGAAATGATATGCTGTGTGTTACACGGCGCTCAGAGTAGTGTCATGCCACTTAGCTGGCTAAGTAATAATTAATTAGAACTAAATCCTATTTGCATATATATGAAATACTTGTTTATCTGGACATTGAAAGTTCCTCATATAAATGCCTATGGAAAAGTTTGTAATAAATGTGTTGAAATATTACACCAATGTCATGGAATGTTTCAGGGTTATCTTTCATGCCTTTGCTGTGCATGATGCAGCTCCTGCAGTTTGGAAGTGCTCATCACATGACACTTCGTGGGGAATCCGTTGGTACCAGTGGCTGAGCTGATGGTGGCAAGTTTCGCTTGTCACAAAACCACAGAAGTGTTACAGCACAGAAGGATGCTTTCGGCCCATCATGTCTGCACAGGCTCTTCAATCAGCAGCATGTCTTAGTGTCTTTTTCTTGTCTTTTCCTCATCCCCTTGCACATTGTTTCTATTTAAAGAAATCATCCAATATCTCAATTGAACCTGCCTCCACCACATTTCCAGGCAGTGCATTCCATACCCTAACTAGTTACTGTGTGATAATTTTTTTTTTTCTGACATCACATTTGCTTCTTTTGAAATCACTTAAAATCTGTGCCCTCTGATTCTTGATCCTTTCATGGGCCGGACTGTTTCCCCCTCTCTATCTATCTGGCCCATTCAGGATTTTAAAAATTTCTATCAGGTATCCTCTTAGTCTTCTATTGTCCAAGGTGAGCATCCTAATCTCTCCAATCTAAACTCATAACTAAAGTTATTCTGGAACTATTCTTGTAAATGTCTCCTGCGCTATCTTCAATGCATTCCCATCCGTCTTACAGTGTGGCACACAGAACTATAGACTGTACTCCAAATTGAGTTCCAACTCAGTTCCAACTTTCTGAAGAAGGGTCTAGACCCGAAACGTCAGCTTTCCTGCTCCTGTGATGCTGCTTGGCCTGCTGTGTTCATCCAGCTCTACACCTTGTTATCGGAGTTCCAACTAATGTCTTTGGCAAATTCAGTCTTACCTCCTTGCTCTTGTACTCTGTGCCTCTATTAATAAAGCCACTGATGCGAAATTAATGCTCTCCCCACTTGTTCTGCCACCTTCAATGATCTGTGCACACATACACCCAGGTCCCTCTGCTCCTGCACCTCCTTTATTATTGTACCAACTACTTTCTATGTCTTTCAATGTTCTTCCTGCCAAAGAACATCACCTCACACTTCTCTGCTTTAAACTTCATCTATAACCTATTTGTCTACACCAACTTGTTTCTGTCCTCATCACAGTTTATAATGCTCCCAGGTTTCATTTCATCCACAAATGTTGAAGTTATGCCTTGCGTATCAAGATCGCAATCATTTATATATATCAAGAAAAGCAAGAATTCCAGTACCAACCCCTGTGGAACTCCATTACGAACCTTCATCTAACCTGAAAAACATTCAGTGACCATTACTTTCTGTTTCCTATCATTCAGCCAACTGTGTACCCACCTTGTTCATTTTATTCCATAAGCTGAAACTTTCCTCACAAGTCTGTGGTGTGGCGCTGTATCAAACACCTTCTGGAAGTCCATGGATACCAAATCAACAGCATTATATTCCTTTCTGATATCTCTTAAAGAAACTCCAACAAATTAGTTAAATACAATTTTCCCTTTAGAAATCCATATCCATTTCAACTTTCCTTTTCCACGTGATTACTAATCCTATCATGGATAACTATTTCTAGAAAATTCGCCACCACTGAAGTTAAACTGACTTGCCTTAAATGCTGGGCTTATCCTTGCAATCTATTTTTAACAGGGGTGTGATGTTTGCAATTTTTCACTCTTGGGGCACCTCCCCTAGATCTAGGGAAAATTGGAACTTTATGGTCAGGGTTTCTACAGTTTCACTCACTTAGTTCATTATCCTCAGATGTAACTCATCCACCCCCAGTGTCTTTCAGCTTTAAATACCAACAATCTATCCAACACCTCTTCCTCATTAGTTTGAACCCTTCTAGTTGCCTCCTCTGTCACCATGGCCTGGGTAGCATGCACTTTCTTGGTAAAGACAAGGTGCAAAGTATCCATTTGATGCCTCATCCATGCCCCCGGCCTCTCCTAACAATGTTGTGTTTCAATAAGGTCACCTCTCATTCTTCTAAATTTCAATGAGTATAGGTCCATCCTACTTGATGTCTCTTCATAAGATAGTCCCTGGTATCAGCAGGGTGAATCTTTTCTGGACTACCTCCAATCTGTACCTGTAACTCCATATACTCCGTACATTCACATACCTGCACAATACTAACCCTGATTTAGACTTCATTACTATCTCCCCAACTGCAATTTCAGGTATTAACTTGAAATTCCCTATGCTAGTGCTATCTGTCTCTGTGTATTTTGTGAACCCTGGTATTCCACTCTAATTTTCTCAGTTGCCACATCCCTGCCAAGTTAATTTAAAACCCTTCCACTTGACCAAGCTGGGCTGTCATATCTTATCGTTACTTCCCTTACATTAATTTTATTCTGCTTTGGATTATGTATTTATTATATTGGCTTTCGCCCCGTCTCTGACTTTCCTTTATTCCTGGTGTTTCACA